TGCAAATTAAATGCCAACTCAATATAGTCCTATCAAGGTTTTGATCAAGGTTTCTATAAAGTTGGTTCTCTGAGGGTTCTACAAAGGTGCAGCGGTTTACGGCCTTAGTCATTAAACTAGGATTTTGGGGTGGGCTTCCATACCACAACGACGCGACCGAACCCTGAAGAATGACCCCTCACTTTTGCGTTGATATCATATTAAAAGAGTGACAAAAACAACAATGGCAATGATAGCAACCAGAAAACAAGACGAGCAGTCATAATAATAATGATAATACTGATAGTAACCATGCACAAAGTAGGAACAATGATAACAAAATAAATAGCAGAAGAAGAAAAGGTAACAATAAAACAAATTACAATACAAAGAACAAACAGTAATACTAATCGTAATGCTATAATAACAATAAAAGTGCTTAATAGAAATAACAACTGCAATGCTAACAATGAAAATCCAACCTCTACAAGCCCTAGTTCTGTAGTTCTCGCCAGTCCACCAACGCAAGCTCCGGCTCTTGACAAAAAACCACAGAATCCAAGGGTTTGGGTTTTTAATTTAGGGTTCAGGGTTTCGGGCTCAGGGTCTAGGGTTTAGGGCTTCGGGTTCTGTCATCTACATCAAGATCAACTGGCTGGCCCTTATATGTGTATATATGTATGTATGTATGTATATATATATATATATATATATATATGTATGTATATATATATATGTATATGTATATATATACATATATATATATGTATATGTATACATATGCATGTGTGTATATATATATATATGTATATGTATATATATACATATACATATATATATATATATATATATATATATATGTATATGTATACATATGCATGTGTATATATATATATATATATATATATGTACATATGTATATATATGTATGTATGTGTATATATATATATATATATATATATATCGCTTAAAGGGTCTAATGTAGCTAGTGTACTGATCAAGAAAACCATTTACGGTACCCTAAACCCTAAGTTCTGAAGCCTAACCCCGCTGAACCTGTCAGAAACCCTAAACCTGAAAGGGCTCATCCGACAAGGTGCTGCTCGAAGACACACAGCCCATGATTGTCACGTGCGACGCTCGGAAGTTAAAACGGGAGTCGGTCCAGGGCTTTGGGCTTACATACTGTGTCGAGCTCCGTTTTCTGGCAGTTTTCTGGACTCAAGATCAAGCTATGCATCACGCTCCATAGTAGGACACCCAGGTTTCTGGTTTCTAAACTACGAGGAGTACTTGTACTGGTTCAAGACTCCTCTGACAGTCATAATAGTTCATCCAACGCTATAAAAGTTTTTAGGCTTCAAGGGCAGAAAGCATGCAGATACCCCACTCGCCCTATCCGTGTTCCACCGGCACGGTGTCCGAAACAAGGCAGGAGCTCAAACTCCGTTTGATGGGACCTGCCTGAAAGCCGAGACGGCCGCGCGTCGTCACGAGAATTGGAGCATGTTGCATCGTTCAGGTTTAAGGTTTAGGACATAATTTTTTGGGGGGTTTCGAGTTTAGGGCTGAAGAGGTCTGAGGCATTCTGAAACACTCAGACACCTCTCGGATCATAAACGCCCTTAAAGCAAGATCTCGATCTCCGCAGAAACCGTCTTAACCTTGAACCCTAAGCCCTAGATCTGAATCCCCAAACCCTGAGCCCTAAACCCTGAACCCTGAGCCTTTACAGGGCTTGCGGAAACTACCCTAGGACGATTTCGGGTAGAAGAGGCTCCGTCAACACGGCTAGTCCCAGGTGGGTGTATGGACTATGCACCATGCAGAATGAAATACAGGCAGTTTAGAAGCGCTGAAACCTTGGACTCTGCTGTCACAAAACCCCAGGTAGGCTGTTGTCGTGTACTATAGCACAGTATCTCTCAGGAGGCATTGTTTTAAGTTATACTACAATAGACCCCAAGACCCTGGTCTAATCATTAAGGCCCCGTATATTAGTTTCAATACGTTGGGACTCGGGTGTACCCGAAATTCCATAAACCCTAAACCCTACTTAAACCCTAGAAACAGAAATCCTAACCCCTGCCCTAAATCTAAACCCTATCATCCCACAGCCCCCTGTAGGGGTTGAGGGTTAAGGCGTGAGGACACAGGTAGGACTCAGGTTCCGCCTGTGGCGCTTTCGGTTCGGGAGAGTAAAGGTTGTCACAACCACCTTTTGCGACCACCGTTTAGGGCTTCTTCTTCCGGAATGGCTAAGGCTTGGGGTAAACCCCAAACCCTCAACCCCTAAACGACCTCAAAATCCCAGCCGCAGCGATACACATAAACACTATCGCAGGCAAAGGGAACTATGGATTGTTTGTTTAGGGTTGGGGGTTTAGGCTTCAGGGATACTGATTTTGGGGATTGTCCAAGACAGCTGCCAAAACTGCGATATAGGAATGCATCGACTTTCAAACTCCTATTCTAGACCCCCACACCGTCATATATCCAACCGCCCAAGGATCGACTGTGGGTTTAGGGTTTAGCGTTCCTTTAGCGGTTTAGGGTTCCTTCAAGTAGGGCCTAGGGGTCCTTTAAGGGTTCAGGGCTCCTTTAAGTAGGGTTTGGGGTTTAGGCGTTCTTTACGGGGTTAGGGGTTACTGTAAGGCCCTTTAAAGTTTTAGCTGCTTTAACGGCTCCTTTTCATCTGCAACAGCTATGTCAGCAGGTAGGGCTGCAGAACGCCAAGGATGACGGGGCGGTGTTTTGTCTCTTCAACCTCCGTGTTCCATCTGAGCATCGGTTCTCCCTATCACCTGCACTTGAGGTTTTGCCAAACCCGCAAGGGCCACATCCTGAACCCCTAAACCCTAAAGCAATCCCCACTCAGACTAGGGAGGTGGCTTTATACTAGAGGTATACTGCGGAACTCTAATGAATCATATTACGAGTTATTCTCAATCCTATCTCGCCATGCCGGCATGCGAATTTTATGTTGAGGTTCAGGCTAAGTGCAGCTGCATCTCCAGTCGCCCTCGCAAAGCTCAGATCTGCAGCACCCTACCCCAGAACGCAAGAAATCAGTCCCTATACTCTGAAACAACAAACATGAACCCCAAAGCCCGAAAACCGGAGAAAAAAAAAAAAAAACTAAACCCCTAACTCAAAGCCGCAAACCCAGGGTCGGAGCCCACCCTTGGTAAGCCTAGCGATGAAAAGTTACTACTTTGTCGGATCTAGGATGCCACCCAACACCAGTACATGCTCAAAGAGCCCTGCCCCTCACATTAAACCCGAAACGTTCAACTAATCCAAACTTCAGCATGACTCTTCGGGTTTTGGATGTTAGGAGTCTTGCAACTTGTGTTTTACGGTTTCCCGCATGTCAAACGGAGGTTCAAGGTGCTTTCTGAGAAAACACCGTCGCGGAGGGGCCGGGCAGGGTATTCGTTGTCCGCTTCCGCTCTTCAAGCGGGAGCGACAGTGGGCCCAAGGGATCAGCCGATGCTTCCCTAAAGCCCTATACAAAATGGAACAACACTATGAATCCAAGACCTTTCTTGGTGGTAGTAGGAGTAGCGGTAGTAGTGGTAGTAGTGGCAGTAGTGGTGGTAGTCGCAATGGTGGCAGTCGGAGAAGTAGTGGAAGAGAAGCAGCAGCGGCAATAGCAGTATGTAGCCTAAAGCCCTAAACCAACAGTGGTGCCCCAACTCCCTGGAGCGCACTGATGACACTCGGCTTGAAAACGCATACTTTGCAAATTCCAGTACAGTGCCCAGTACGCCGACACTAAATCCAAAAGGACTCCAGACCCTCCAAGACTGCTAGAACCCTGAAACAAACCTCATCAGCCCTCCAGAAAGGCTGTTTACAAAAGGTGAAATTAAAATAGCCCTATGGAACTCTACTCAAGCCCCTAATGAAACTTTGAAGGCCTTCAAACTCATCTGAAACATCCTAAACTCAGAAGCATCTCGGATCTCAAGGAGCAGGAACTTGTCCCTGTCCACACCAATTTCATCTACGCTGCCGATCTGGGGTTTGAGGATTTAGGGACTTCTCCAGGAGCAGATGTTCTAGGTGGGGCTTTTGAAGCCTTTGAAAAATATTAGTAAATAAGATCCTCTTAACCCCAAAAAGGGAAAATATAAAATGTCCCAAAGCCCTACCTAGTGCTCTTTTTGAATGGTTCTGGACTCTTCGGGTTCGGGGTTAGGATTTGTGGCTTCAGGGTTTAATTTGGGTTTTGCTTGAGGTGTTTGTACAAGTGATATGTAGGAAGGGATTCGAGGAATGCTACGCTACTAAACTGTCATGTCCCTGTAGTAGTGCCTCGGCGTGGGGCTTCGGGGATTGATGGTCACGAAGGTCGTGCCGTGAGCCACTAATGAAGCTTCAAATCGAAACAGATGCTGAAGAGATAGTCAACCCCAAACCCTAAACCCCTAAACTCCTAAGCTCCTCACCTCCTAAACTCCTAAACCCTGAACTCCTAAACCCCAAACCCAAAACCGTTTTAGAAAGCTTCCGGGGGAAGTGGAAATCAAAATCCTTCGGAGGAGCCCCTCCAGCTATGCTTAGAGGAGCATGGGACTTAATAATTATGTTTCAAATAAGGAACTGTAGTTACAGTTACTTGTAGCCCTTGTTAAGGTAGGTTTTGGTTTAGGGTTGGGGGTTTAAGGATGAAAGTTCAGGGCTCAGGGCTTAGGGTAGGGGATTCAAGATGGTGTAGGGTTCGGGATGGAAGGATTTACGGCCAAAGATCTGTGGTATAGTATCTTGGCTCTGGCTGGACTCATACTTTACGAACTGTACACCGGGAGCCTCCCAGAATCCTCATGCGGCTTTGCAGGCGTCGCAATTCGGGAAACTTAATGTAGGGCCTTAATTGTTGAAAGAGGTTTGGGGTCGCTGTATAGCAAAAATATAGTAAGGAAACCTAAGGAATAATATTGGTAAGTATTTAGGCTTCTATATTAACTCCCCATTTCGGCAGAATCGTATGAGACAGCCGGCGGAAGCACGGCAGCTCACTTTGATGCGGGCTGTATCGAAGCCTCACTTGACAAGGGCGCGGACACGTTGGCGGAGGCGTGCGGCACAGGCTCTGCAACGTAGACGTTGTCCTTGAAGTCATTCACCTGGGTTTAGAGCCCAGGCACAATGCTCTCAACCCCAGACCCCCATTCCTGAATCCCAAGCCCCACAAGCTTGAACCCCACACTTTGAACATAAACGCTACACTCCCACAACCACGGTCAACAGGCCTCAAGGTGCCTTTCATGCAGTACGTTAGTACCCCCTGTGTCTCTTTTTGGTAGCTTTGTAACAACAAGCAGCATCTTGATGGGTAGCTGTCTAAATCAGGGTCCCTTTAAATTAGAGGCCGTACTATTTGGGGGGCCGAAAAAGGGTCCAGAAATAGGCCTCATCCCAGGAGTCGCAGCGAACGAGCCGTGCAGGTGCTCTCAAGAGGCGCGCCAGCCATCTTTCGGAGCTTTGGCCTCGACGCGGCTGGCAACGTGCAGGATCAAGGCCTGCAGCCGCTCTTCTAACATGATCATCCTTCCCAGGCGGCCTTGATGTACGAAATCACAGCTATGAGCACTGTCTTCGACACACCCCGGCCAGGAGAGCCTTCGCCAGCTCCTCGGAGTGTCCATCTGGGCAGCCTCGACGTGGAGCTCGAACGGCTGGGCGAAGGGGTCTCACGACACCTGCTGGTCAGGAACGATCATCACCACATCGGCCTCGCCATGTGCCCCGGTCGGCCCCTCGGTGACGGGCATCTCCGCCTGGGGGCCACGTCTGCTTGATGTAGTGAAGACCGCCTTCTGGTTCACTTGAACGTTCGGCGAAGCAAAGTCCGTAGGCGAGCACCAGAGTGCATTGATGCCCGCCGAGAGGAGAACCTGTCGCCCCTATCCACTTCCAAACCTTGCCTTGCAGACGGATCCTAATTTGGAGAGCTACCCGTAGCTCATTCCACGTCTTGTCGTCGCACGTGTGACTGCAGCTAAAGCCCACCAGCTTCTAAGTTTAGAGTTTAACTCTACCCCCTACAAGCAAAGACATGTTTCTGCATATATCTTTTGACAAGAAACCACGGACCACAAAAAAAGCTTCACAACTCCCACCGAGCCGAGTATTTGGGGCTTTTAACTGAAGATTGACTAAAATCCCGAACAGCCTGCGGTGTTGACTTCGACGCTGCATGAATGCGGAAGTCTATAGAAATGAGGATCCCTTGTGGGGGTCCCTGTGATTACTGGATGTGAGGCCTTATTCAGGGGATCCCAGAAGCATTCTTACGACTTCGAACCCTTCACCTTTTTCGGCCCGATTATCAGAAGCCTAAGGAAAGCCAAAAAAATTAAGGTCCTAAGGTTTAGGATCTAGGACTTGGGGCCTAGCTATCTCCCAAACAGGAACGAGACTCTAAAAGCCGCATATGCTCATTTTCCGGACTCAGCTGGGCCGAGGGTCCAGAAAGCGGATCACTAGGGATGGCGCAGTCAGGCCGAAAGCGAAGTTGGTCAGCGATTTAGGCGGTTCGGGTTTTACGATTTAGGCGCTAGGGTTTGGATTTAGGGTTTGTGTCGTTTTCAAGGTTTCAGGTTTGGGGAGTTTGCGGCTGTCCAAGGTTAAGGATGATATGTTAAGGTTCCTACTTTATGGTTGGGATAGGATTAAACATGTAGACGTTTATTCCTTCTTGGGTACTTAAAAATATAACATGTTACCCAACTATGACACGGGTTCCTCTGCATCTTATACGACAAAGCCTATATCCCCATGTACTTGAGATGGAGATCAGAAGCTTAAACCTGAAATCTCAAATCCTAAAACTAAACGGTTTGGGGCTTAGGGGCTTCAGGCTTATGGGTTTAGGGGTTTAGAGTTTAGGGAAAAGGGGTTTAGGGTTTAGGGTTAATGGGTACCCCTGAAGACCCCTCTTCTCAACTTCTCTGCCACACAAGCGGCACAGTCGATGTTTCGAATGTCTGACCTTGGTGCTCAGGCGCTCTTACTTCGAGGTGAATGTAGGTTTCTGTGCTGTCTCATAGGGTTTTCGGGTTCATGTGAAGAATCAGGGGACTTCGTGAGTATGGGGCGCAAGCAGAAGCATACACTAGCACCCCCAACCTTGGAAACGCACAGCTCTGCGTGTACTCTACTTACTAAGCCCCTTGATTCCTTTAAGCAACCCAGAGGGTTCAAGTACTCCCTATCATAGGTTTTTAGGGCCATTCTAGGTATCAAAAACCCAGAAATAAGGACTAAATGGACCCTTAGGGTAAGGTTAGGTGCACTTCTCATTTACGTTTTGTGGTCTAAACCCTACCCTAAACCACTCTTGGTTTTGAAGCTTCCGGGAACAGTTGGAGCGTCGAAGTCTTTTCGATTCCAAGGACTGGAGTGTGCGGATCGGGAGTGCGGCTAATATGGGAGCCTTAATAATCAGAATAGGGGTGCCTTTAAGGGTTCCTTTACAGGGATCTATAAGGGTTACTGTAAGGATCTATAAGGGTACTACAATGTAGGAGCCTTAATAATTAGAGTAGGGTTCTTGGGTCCAATATGCTGTAGTTATACTAAGGAACCCACCAAATTGTTTTGGTAAACATTTAGGCCCCTAATTAGAGTAAGGATATTGGGGTTTAGGTTTAGGGTCGTTTTGGGTCCTGGATTTTGTGCACTGGCTTGCTCACCAAGTGTCACTTGCCACCACACCCCGCAAAAGTAAGCACACTAGACCGTGTCGCGATGAAGAAGACCACTTCAACGAAAACAACAGCAGCAGCAACAACAGCAGCAGCAGCAACTGCGACTGCTACAATACGACTACTACTGTATTACCACTACGACGACGCCACGACCGCCACCACAATCAGCACAGCCACAAGCGCCACATGCTGATACATCACGAGTATCACCACCTTGAGCCTGCTTGCAATGCGTGCGGTGGACATCCTTACGCTGACATCCTAAGACTCGAAACCTCAACTCCGATATTTAATGGTTAGAATAGTGAATACAGTTCTTATATATATATATATATGCATGACGGCTCCTTAGGGATTCTAGAGGGAGCTTGCGGTTTTGGGGGATAGAAGTGTATCGAGGAACCGTGAGGAATAACATTACTTGTCATTCGAGACCTAGAGTATACTATACGGGACCGTATGCACGGTACTTATATGAGAAGAGAACGACAAAGCAGCTGCAGTTTTGGGAAAGCCCCTACATCTCGAAACTCGAAACCCTGCAGGATTCTCGAAAAAATCCAGAGATTCTCCAACTGAGATAGCTTCATGCGAACACCCACAAAAAGCCATGAATGACCTGTGTCTAAACGCACGCATAGTCAACCCCAAGAAGCACCAACCCCTGTAGGCCTAAACGCCCCCCCCGAAACCCCAAAACGCTTAGCATGGAAAGCTGCAAACCCCCAAAACCCTTAAAGCCCCAACCCCCAGAAACTCAAAAAGCATCTCCGAGCCATCCTTAACAAAGCACGTTTAGGGTATGTGACCACACATCAGCGAACCCTTAAGGGACCTTCAATCGAATCCCTATATGCTTGTGAGTAAGGATCCCTTCAAGGAACGCGCATATCTTGAAGCCCCTAGACCCTAAACACTAAACCCTAAACCCAAAACCCTAAACCCTAAACCCTTAAACCCTAAGCCCTAAACCCCAAACTACAAGGATCTCTGAGTGCCCCACCAATACTCGGGATATTCGGACTTCACCGCCAGCTCAGAGGCTTTGAAGTCCGGCGTGACGACGGCCTCTGAAGGCCGAGGTCTTGTTTTAAACCCTAAACCCTAAACCCTAAATCCTAAACCCTAAACCCTAAACCCTGAACCCTAAACTTTTCGGACGATCCTAAAACCCAGCCATTTTGGCGAGGCCGAGGTTCAGGGTTTAGGATTGGGAGTTGGGGGTTAGGGTTTAGGATGGACGCTCTGGGATTTAGGGTTGAGGATTCGGGGTGTAGGATTCAGACTTTGGGTTAAGGCCGTTTAGGCTATCACTCGAAACCCGAACCCCAACCCTAAACCCTATCCAACTCCTCCGCGCGCCTTCTTCCAGTCCAGGTGTGCGACCGGGGCGGCATCGAGCAACGCGCAGGGTTTCGCCACATCCCCCCTGAAAAAAAAGTGGTGAGTAGGGTTCTTTACAGCGGTTGTGTAAGGGATCGATCCGGGAGTAAGTAGTTTTTTCCGCACAGGGTTCAAAGTAGGATAACCCCAATTCGGCAACTGCCTTGGCAAGTCCACTTAATCACTTAATACTTAGTATCTTTATAGTCACCCAACTGCATACATCCAGGACCCATCTGACTAACCTTATACTCCGTCAACAAAGCATCCACGCAAGTCCCGCACAAAAAGAGCAACGCTGAGCTTCCAGTCCTAAAGCTCCAAAGCCCCCGACCCCCGAAACCCTGGCCCTAAGGCCTAAAACCCCCTAGGCCCGATGCCCTCATCAAAAGATTGAAAAACACCGCAAAAACCGTACAAAACCTCAGACAACCCCTACGGGAGCTCTAAGGAAGCCTAACTCGACAACAGCACACCACACCGGCAGGCAAACAACCCTGAACCCCCAAACCCTGAGCCCCTAAATCCCTACTTGGAGGGTCGGGGGACTTAGTAACTGGTTATTTTAGGGTTTTATAAGTACCATAACCCCAATTAGGGTCCCTTGTAGGGTACTTATAAGTCTACTTACTACCTACTTACTAAGTCCCCCGACCCCCCAAGTAAACCCCTAAACCCTGAACCCTAAACCCTAACTCCTAAACCCTAAACCCTAAACCGGCTCCTTGCCTAAATCCCTAAGTCCCTAAAGCCGTAAGCCCTAAACCCTAAACCAGCTTCCAGGCTGCCGAGATGCACCAGCTTCTGAGCCAGCTTGCACCAAACCCGGTCGAGGCCTCCGTACTCTTTCAAAACGCTTTAGGGCTTAGGGGTTTAGGGTTTAGGGTTTAGGGCTTAGGGCTTAGGGTTTTAGGGTTTAGGGCTTAGGGTTTAGGGTTTAGGGTTTAGGGCTTAGGGGTTTAGGATTTAGGGCTTAGGGTTTAGGGCTTAGGATTTAGGGTTTAGGGTTTAGGATTTAGGGTTTAGGGTTTAGGGCTTAGGGGGCACAGCCTTTGATGGTACTCGCACATAAAAGTTTCTTAGGCCGCAACAAGTGAAAATATGAAATGTCCCCCAATGTCCTACCTAGTAAGCTATTTCAAAGGTATGGTATAGGTGCAAAGGGGCGTGTTAGGAGTTTTGGGTTTTATGGCTCGGGGCTTAGGATTCTGGCTTTGGGATTTAGGGTTTATTGTATGAGTTTAAGTTTTAGGTTTAAGACAGGCTTTTTCAGGTCCGCTAGACCCTATAAACCTCCTCCGAACCCTATGGTTGGCGTCAAATTGCCTGCCTTCGTTGGGCCCCAAACCCCTACAATAGGTTTAGGTTTGGAGTCTATTTGGGTATTTGTCAAAATTATGGCCCCTTTTGGGTACCCGAAATATTAGAAATATTAGAAATATTAGGTGCCGTATTATAATAGGGACCCAAAAAAAGGGGACCATAATTTTGACAGCCACCCATTTTGGAGTCCAAGGCTTGGGAGCCCCAACCTGAACCCTGACCTTTTGGAAATGAGCCCCTAAACCCTAAACCCTAAACCCTAAACCCTACACCCCCTAAACCCTAAACCCTAAACCCTAAACCCCCTAAACCTAAACCGTATACCCTAAACCCCCTAAACCCTAAACCCCCTAAACCCTAAACCGTATACCCTAAACCCTAAACCCCCTAAACCCCCTAAACCCTAAACCCCCTAAAACCTAAACCCTAAACCCCCTAAACCCTAAACCCCCTAAACCCTAAACCGTATACCCTAAACCCTAAACCCCCTAAACCCCCTAAACCCTAAACCCCCTAAAACCTAAACCCTAAACCCCCTAAACCCTAAACCCCCTAAACCCTAAACCGTATACCCTAAACCCTAAACCCCCTAAACCCCCTAAACCCTAAACCCCCTAAAACCTAAACCCTAAACCCCCTAAACCCTAAACCCCCTAAACCCTAAACCGTATACCCTAAACCCTAAACCCCCTAAAACCTAAACCCTAAACCCCCTAAACCCTAAACCCCCTAAACCCTAAACCGTATACCCTAAACCCCCTAAACCCTAAACCCTAAACCCCCTAAACCCTAAACCGTATACCCTAAACCCTAAACCCCCTAAAACCTAAACCCTAAACCCCCTAAACCCTAAACCCCCTACACCCTAAACCGTATACCCTAAACCCCCTAAACCCTAAACCCTAAACCCCCTAAACCCTAAACCCCCTAAACCCTAAACCGTATACCCTAAACCCCCTAAACCCTAAACCCTAAACCCTAAACCCCCTAAAACCTAAACCCCAAACCCTAACCCCCCTAAACCCTAAACCCCCTAAACCCTAAACCCCCTAAAACCTAAAACCTAAGGTCAAGGCCCCACTCGGCTTTGTCGTGGACGCAGTCCACGCAGTCTTTCCTTTGAGAGCCCGCCGGGGCGCGGGGTGCATGGGACGTCTTTGTTGGGCTTGCTGTTGTGCATTGTTTAGGTACTGCCCCCATACAGTAAGAGTCTAAAATAAGGCTACTATTAAGGTCCTAATATAGCTACGGTATGAACATTTTTCAACTATTACTGAGTGGGGGCCGTACCCAATGCATTGTTCCTTGAACCCACCCCAGCTCCATGTGACGAGCTTTGGATAAGTCAAGCATTGGCAAGTTTAGGGTTTAGGGTTTTGGCAAGTTTTTTCTATAGGAACCTGAAAAGAAACACTAATATGGGCTCTAGGGCTTAGCGCTCAGGGCTTCAAGACTTAATCCGGACTTTGAGTGGGAGTTTCCGAAAATAGGGGATACCTATTATTTGGGGGTCCTTATAATCAGGATCCTACTATTTAGGGTACTATGTTAGGGTCCCCTTTTTCGGAAACTCCCAAATAAGTATGGCGGCTACAGGCTTAGGACAACTCGCAGCTGGGAGTCGAGGTAGCTTTCACACTAGGGCGGCGTATTGCTTGGGAATTAGTGGTGAAGATCTTTCGCGAGTCTAGCCTAGGGCTTAGGTAGGTTTAACTAGGAGTTTTAGGGCTAGGATAACTACGGCTGATGATATGAATCCTGCATTACCTCAAGGATCCTAAACTATGGGAACTATGGTACATTCCTTATTACGGGTCATGCAGGATTTATATCATCAACCGTAGCACCCAGGAGTCGATGTAGCTTTAATATTAGGGAGTATTGTTTGGTTCAGGGTTTAGGGTTTAGGGTTGGTTGGGGGTTAAGTAGGGGTTTCAGGTATAATTCCCATCGCTCCAACCCCCCCTCGTCTTTGCTCAATCCGTCGCTGACTGGTTGGTTGTCTCTCTGTTGTAGCATCCTTAAGGGAGGGGGGTCCAAGGGGGGTATATAGCCTAGTGATCCCAAATTCTCCCTAGTACTCCCTAAGGTTCCCTTACAGTCCTTTAAGGATTCCTTATACCCTCCCCCCTTGAACCACCCTCCCTTGAGGATCCTATAACTCTGGCTGCCTGAACACAAGGAGGTTTGATTAAACAGCAATACGCCAAACCTGAGCTCCAAAACCCCTAAACCTCCATCCTTAAAGGAGCCTCATGAAACTCTTATGCCTGTGAAAAGCGTATCAGGAAGCCGTTAAGCCCAAAACCCCAAAAGCAAAACCCCAAAGAAGCCCTAAAGAACTTCCGCTTCTCCGGGGGCCGAGATTCAAGATCAGAGCCAACACCTGCAGCTCACAGGGGTTCAAAGGCGAGCTGTTGGAGGCTGTGGGGTGTAGAAAGAAGGGTTTGGAGTGTAGGGTGCGACGTTTTGGGTTTAGGTCTTAATATTGGGACTCGGTAAGTAAGGTTATAAATACAGTGTTTGGAGTTACAAGCAATTCCACCTGTAGTTACCCTACTTTTAACCCTAGTTACTGAGCCCCATGTTCCTCTGGGTCGGGGGCTCGTGGCTGCTCAGGATGCAGGACTGTATCCAGTTCCCTGCCCGTTCGAAAACAAGGGCTTGATGCTGTTTGCTACTGTTTAGATCTACATTGGAACTCAAAACGAACAAAAGGCAAAAGGAGCACCCAATCTTCCTTCACAGCCTTATGAAACCATGCAAAACCCCATGAAGTAAAACTTACGAAACCTTCGCGGTCCTTTGAGGCTTTGTCGGGTCGAATATAGAAGCCTAAACGACCGGGATGCGGGCATGCCATAAGCTTGCAAATGGAAGCCCCAAGGAATGAAGTTTCTAGGCTTCTACAAGAAGTTCCAAACCAAGACCCCCCCCAGTCTTCATCCGTCTAGTGCCCTGCGAAGAGCGTTCAGTTTGGGGTTTCGTTCAGTTGTTTGGGGTGTGAAGTTTGCTCGGAGGATCATTTGGATTTAGTAACTAGATTAGAATCTTTACCCGAAAGTCCAATTGGGGTACCTATACCCTTACTTACTACTTGTAAGTCCAATGACCCTACAAGTACCCTAAATCCTAAACCCTGAACCCTTGTAGTATCCCTATAGATCCTGATCCTCCAAGAGGGTTTTGGAGCGAATCTCCCGAGTTTCTCCGGCGGCCTTGTTGGAAAGGAGTGGCGCTGTCATCCTCAGAAAGCATCAACCAAAACCACTAGCCCCCAAAACCCTTAAACCCCTAAACCCACTGAACCCCTAAACCCCCAAACTCCGAGCAGAACTCCACTCAGCAGGGACTCCAATATCCCCTAATTTAAGGAATATTCCTTAACTCATATTAGGTAGGGATCCTACTATAAGCTAAGGTATATTCCTTAATTCAATGATATTGGAGTCTCTGGGTCAGTGCTTGACAAAAGATCATCGGAGTAGGCCGGAATGCACTAGCAGGTCCAGTCATACCGTATATACCCCTCACAAAAAGGTAGGAACCCTGATAGAAGCCTTCAAGGAACCTGATAGAACCCTTAGAGAGCCCAGGTTTCGGGAAATTCCCGAACCTTCACAATCCTTTCCACTTCCACTTTGAGGATCATGAGACTTAGTGAATAAGGTTATGAATGCCTTAGTTGGCGTTCTAAGTGCTTGTGTATACCTTAGTCATGACATTGTACTACCCTAGTTACTTAGTCCCATAATCCCCCAAGCAGAGCCCAAACCCCCCCAAAAGGACACTGACCAACCGAACAACACTGAACCCTCAATCCATAAACCCGAACTCCCGTTCACCTCCCTGACCCAATACTCCTGCATAAACAACGAACACAGAAATGCCGAAAATAGGGGACCCTAATCCAGCCATTATATGTACCGCAAAATAAGCTACCCCTAACTTTCTGAAAGAGAGAACAACATCACTGCAGTATCCTCCACCCACAAACCTCCTGAACCCCTCAGCCCTGGAAGTCAAACCTGAACCCTAAACCCTATAGATCCGTTAAAGGGACCCCTAAGACCTGAACCCTCAACCCTATAGATCCCTGAAAGGGACCCCCCTAAATCCTGAACACTACGGCCCTGCAGAACCCCTACAACAGCGTTATGAACACCCCTCCAGTACCTCTCGGACCGCATAGAAGCGAGAAATCCCTAGAGAACCCTTGGGAAGCGTTTAAGTGCTGAAATCCCATAAAGGCCAAAAAAGCACAAGAAAGTGTCAAAAACAACGAGACCATACAACTAACAGAAACAACTCATGTCAGAATGAGTGTTGCTCAAGAACACTACCCGCAACCTGAAATCCCCAACCCGAAACCCCAAACCTGGACATTACTTGGAGGATCATGGGACTTAGTATGTAAGGTCATAAGTACCCTCATTGGGGTTATAAGTTTCTGTTATTATTGCTGTTGTTACCTTTTTTTATAACCCTAGTTACTCAGTTCCATGATCAACTAAGTGCCTGAAACCAGAGCCGAGAATCTCCACGAAATCTGTGTGGCGCAGCTTGCATCTGGGATCCGGCTTTCCCAGAACCTGGGAAAGTTGGGCTCTAAGGGGCTTTTAGGGATTCCTTCACGGGTTCCTTTAAGGGTTCCTTTACGGGCTCCTTTAGAGATTTTTTAGGGATCCATAGAAGTTTGGGGTGTCCGGTGTCCGGTTCCTTTATGGGTTTCACACGGGTCTAATGTCTGAGGTTTAGGGTTTAGGTTTCCGGTTTGGGTTCCTTTTTAAGGGCTCTATATGGACTGCACAAGGAGACTGGCATAGGGTTTTATGGTCGCTTTCAAGGTTCCAGCAAGGCAAGGGCCAGATATAGGTTGAACAGAAGAGTCTAGGTGTTCAGGGTGTTCGGGCTGTTTGCATAAGGTGAGTCGAAACTTTGGCATTCCTGAATGCGAGAGGCGCATGCTGCGCTGGAGGCCCGGCAACCAAAGCCACTTCCCAGACCCCCGGGAGGATCTAGAAAGTAGATCCCCTAATTTGGGGCCCTATACTACTAAGGGTACTTTATAGGAACCCCCATTAAGGGATCTACTTTTTGGATCCTGCCGGGGGTTCTGGGTAGTAATCAGAATAGGGTTTGGGGGGTGCATTATACGATACTTGTGATAAGGAACTCTAGGGAATAATCTGGGTAATTACAACGGCTTCTGCATTAAACTATGCTGGGCGCTTGAGCCTTGAAGAGGGGGCCTGCACAGGCTCAGACGGACGTAATGAAGGGTACAAACAGCAGGTGCTACAAACCCCCAAACCCCTAAACACACCGACACCCAAAACCGAAAATCCCGTTCCAGAACCCTTCTGAAACACCAGAAACCCTGATATCTCTGGATGCAAGTCAAGGAACGTTGATCCGCTCCGCCGTGCTGTCTGCCTTGCAGGAGCATTGCCGACAGCTTGCAGCCAACAGTCTGTAACCTAAATTACAGCCTAATCCTAAACCCTAGCCGGCCCTAGCCTCACCCTAGACTCCTATACATTGAACCTCAACAAATCCTCGACCACAAACGCTAAACCCCCCATACCCCAAACCTAAATCCGAAACCGCCACTTCGACCCGGAACACTAAGCCCTAAGCCCTAAACCCTAAACCCTAAACCCTAAACCCTAAACCCTAAATCCCTAAACCCTAAACCCTAAACCCTAGACCCTAAACCCTAAACCCCCAAACCCTAAACCCTATGATTACCCAAGACAGCAAAATTGGCCTGAGCCCTGATGGAAGATCTCTGACTTACAAACAAAGACGTCTTAGGGCTTAGGGCGGTTTTTTTTTAAGGGCTCCTTTTTGGGTCCGCACGAAGTGTACCAAAGGCTTGGGCGTCTAGGGTTTGGGGTTTAGGGTTTTGGCTTTGGGGTTTAGGGTTTAGAGTTCAGGGTTTTGGGTTTGGGGTTTAGGGTTTAGAGCTCAGGGTTTTGGGTTTGGGGTTTAGGGTTTAGAGTTTAGGATTTAGGGTTATAAAAGGGATCCCAATGCTAGGACCCTCAACAGCTACAGGGTGGTCTTTGCACCAGGGGGGCTGCATTACACTTAACCCCCAAAGGTGCGGGTCTAGACCTTTCAGTTTCGAGCTTCGCGCACCGGACGTCGAAGGTTAGAGTTTAGGGCTTAGGGCTTCTGAGCTTAGAGTTTGAGGGCTCAGAGTTTCGCGGCTTCGGAGTTTCAGTTCGAGGTCTCGGATGTAGGGGCTTTAGGGGTTACTATGAAAGTTCTGAGGGGGCTTCGAAGGGGGGCCGGCCTCTGAGGGTTGCAGTCTATTGTAACTGCAAGAAGGAACCCTAAGGATCAGATGTTTTCACGGATCAGGGGTACGAGGATTTCGGAGGTGTACTAGAGCTTAAAGCCTCTGGAACATCTGCTTGGAAACCGTCATAGAACCCCTCGTAGACTCCCAACAGCGCAAGCCTTGCAGAAACCCTTATACAACCCTTTGCTTTGCTTTGCAGGCTCTCAGAGGTATGTTCGCAGCCTAATTAGAATGCAACCTTGCCCCACACATTGTGTAAGGTCTTGACAAGGGGTGTTCCTGAAAGCTTGCTGGCACCTGTACTGTGGGCTTGTGTCCATCAAGGATTAAGTCCCATGCCTTCTGCAACGCTCCAGGTAACACTCCCCAGAAATCACATCGCACGGCTGCATTTCCGACAACCTCGCTAGGACGATCCCATGCAGCTTCCCAGTCGTCGTCTAGCAATACAGAGGCGTCTCTAAGGGTCACGTGCGTTCCGGAACACCCTAATAGGCTAGCCCAGTTCAGGTCTCGAACCATAGCCGTGAAGGCCTTCAAGGTCTCAAACTTTGGCGGAGTCTCACCGAGTTCAACTCCACTGGTCCAATCCTCTGCCGAAAAGGTTCTGACGGCCTCAAGTAGCTGGGCAACACCCTCGGGCGTCCAGTAGTCGTTGTTGCCACTGTCAACAACCAACCTGACGTCAGCCTCGATCTCATCCAGGATCTCCCGGACCTCGACGTAGTAGAGGGGGAACTCCGCCAGGACTTCAAGGAGGGTCCGCTTAAAGGCCGTCACCGTTTCGTCCACACGTCGCCCTGTGAGGCAGTCGCATGCCGCACAGTAGGCCCGCTTCACCTCCTCTGGCCACCTCCGTTCGCAGTTGTGGTTCATAGCCTCAGCTTGCTGTTCCGGAATCGCCAGGGTAAAATCTCTCTCAGCTGCCATTCTCCATCCCTTGCTGCCGAGTCCACAAGTGAACGGGTGGCTCGTGGCCCCAAGGGTATGTAGGACCGACGTACAACCTGGGGATCGCCAGCCTTGTCCTGGACCAGTAGTTCCGTCCGCAAGCTCTACATACTGTGCCTCCTGTGACCCGCCTGTATGCAGCAAGTCTGCCATGGGTCTTGAAGAAGTGGGCACCAAGGGCCGCCTTGGTTTTGACAGCTCTACAACAGATACGGCACATCCACGGTGCCACAGCCTCCGACAACACTGGCCATCGCTCACAGGCTCGCTTGTAGAGGCTCCAGAGCGCGAGGAGGGTCAGCTGTTCCCGACCAAAGTGGCCAAACTCTTTGGCGATCTTTGTCGCGACCTTCCGCTTGACCCAACTCCCCGACTCCTTAAGCAGGTGGTGCCATCGCGGCCAGCTGGCCGGCTGGAGGTCCGGCCATTGGTCACTCCCAGACCGTAACCACTCCAGGTCCGCTCGTAGCGTGGCATTCCACTCATCATCCAGTTGTAGTGCCGCCCACAGGAGGTCAGGCGCTGTCCAGCACATTGCGGTCAGCAGGGACAGCCGCGCCTTCCTGGCATACGAAGCCAGAGGCGGGGTCTCAGTCAGGATGTGAACGGCCGGCGCGGGGAGTTTGTAGTAGGTCTCACCCTTGAAGCGCTTCGAGAGGAGGCCCTGGAGGATCTTCGTGAATCCACCCTCGAGGAGGTCCCATGCTCGACCAACCGGGACCCAGAGACCCAGATTAAAGCCCGTGGAGGTGACCGCCATGTGGAAAAGGGTGGTGCGAAGTAGCAGGGGGATCGACTCATTCGTGTAGATCAGGGATTTGCCGGAGTCGAAGGCACTCTTAGCCATTCCCAACCGACGTCTTGCTTCCTGAACCAACTTCATCTCCGGCTCAATCACCCCGCCCAAGTGCACATAGGATGGAGCGACTTGGACCTCCTTCTGCAATTCAGGGAGCGTCAAAGTTCGCTTCCCACTCGGGAACCACTCTTGTCGGGTCCGCCTTGCTCCACTCCCCCGCAAAGCCAAAATGGCAGCCGTCTTCTTGGGCTTGAGGTTAGGCAGCATACCATGCCGTTCGGAGAACTCAATGATGATCTCCGTCATTCGCCTCAACTTTCTCATGAGCCTGGCCGCGTACCCGTCACTCAAGGGGAAAGCACAGTCATCGGCCCAGACACAGTCTCTGGCCAAGACTTCGATCCCTCCTTCCGAGGTCCCCAGTGGACCGTACTCGGCGTTGACCTGGAGCGGGGTCAGCAAGTCCTCTGCCGTGGCCACCTCGTGGATCTGGGTGAGTATTCTGCTCAGAACAAAAGCATACACAACGTCAGCCCATGATGATCCGGGTCTCGAGCCAGCCTTGGTGACACTCACGTGGTCCTGTGTCCCATGTCGCGTCACAAACCACGATCTATGCAACATATCTTTGACTAGGTGACGTAGTGGTGGCCTCATGTTGGCGTCCGCCATCATGCCTCCATCTCGGATCATGTCCCTGAAAGCATCCATGTCCTCAGCATGGAGGCCAAAGACCTTGAAGATATACGACACCGCAAAGTCGCTCTCCAGCTCAATTTGACCGACCGCCAGTTCCCTGATGACACGGTAGTATGCACTCTGGGAGTCCAGGAACACAATCGCAACGCTTTGCCCAGCCTTCTTGGCGCCTCGTAGGAAGGCCTGTAGGTAAAGCGCCGGGATTAAGACTGGCGCCCTTTTTTGAGCACCTAGCTGCAAGTCATGTAGAGCTTCTCGCATGGGTGTCCCAGCCCGCTCTCGTAGAAGGCGGTGGAATCCTTTGCCGGGGAGAGAGCTCACGAATAAAGAGCGGTAGTTGGCGACATCATGTCGGGCTCCCGAGCGTTTCCATGACTCCTGCAGGATGCCTCCGCGCCAGTGCAGAGGCTGGCACATGAGCAAAGTAGCCTTCGCCACCAAAGGGTATAAAGCCCTCGACGCCGCCGCGGGAGCCGCCGCCATCAATTCGCCCGGTACTCCATCGAGGCCAACTGCCTTCCGCCTCGGAGCCCTCCGCATCGCAGCTTCTAGCTCCAGCACCGAAGGTATATCATCAACCTTCCATTGCAGGTCGTTCTCGATGTAGATCCGCTGGTCGTCGTTCGCTATCAGCTCTACGGTGGGCTGCAGCTTCCCACACTCCTGCGCCCCGAAATGGTCAAGCCAGACCTTGTCCTTGGCGGCAGCAGTGTCAGCTAGATTGCCCTGGGTGTCGAGGAGAGCAGGCATGGGTCTCCAGGGGGTCCTGGCCGATTTACCACCGAGCCCAGCTCGCTTGACCTGGCGCACAACGTCCTGGTACTTGTCACCTCCAGCAGTGGCCAGTCCCTGTAGGAACTTGTTCTTGTCCCGCCGAACTTGTCCACGGGTCCTGTAGGTCACAAACTTGACAGCACCGGCCACCAATTCGTAGAGCAAGTTCTGCTTCGCTACTAGGTCCTCCACAGCGTAGGAGTCAGCACGGGCCCACTGTAGGAATGCTCTGTCTCGGAGATCAACCCATAGGTCTCGTCGGTGTCGAGACCTTCGTTTCAGAGCATTCTTACCATCGCGGAGGGTCCACGCCAAGTCCGAGATGTAGTCACTCTTGGGGGCATCTGGTTGAACAGGGAAGTGTTGTCCAAGGACCTTGTGCACATACTGGCGGAAGTGCTCATAGTGGTCCGTGGGGTGGACAGTCCACGCCGGTGGCTGATAGTTCCAGAGTGCCTCATGTATGGTCGCCCGGCCCTCCTGAGACAACATCTTGTCTCCATCATACTTAGGCCGGAAAATTCGGTTTCGGTGGCCCGCTGCGATGTTGCCTGAAAATGACACAGCAACTGGATCATGATCTTCGTTTGGCGCCATCATGTCAAAGTCCACAGCAACCCAACTCCGGAGGCAGCCAACAACTGCCGTCCCCCCTAGGGCAATGTAGTCAATGCGGTGCTCAGCACCATTGGCCTGTCGATATGTGACGTCTGTGCCTTCGTGTAGTTCTTCATACGTCGCCGGCACCCAAAGGTGGCATCGCTGCGCTAATCTGGCGAAATCGCATCCATTCAAATCCGGATCGCCAAACCCCTTCGCTCCTGTGACTCCCTGCATGTCGACTGGGAGGCGACCATTCAAATCCAGGCCGCAAACAATCAAACATGCATTTACCAGGGGCTGCAGCGCATCACAGAGGTCAGTCATGAAAGCTCTCAACTCCTCCGTTTTGCCGCCATGCGGCGCATGGCCCGCCACGATCACGACCTTTCTTCCACCAGCGTCGATGGCAAGGACAAGGAGTCGTGGCGACTCCGTGACGACTCGGACATCGTCCTCCGTGATTCGGTAGGGCTTGCCGTCCTTGGCCAGCAGCCCAAAGCGTTTGCTGATCCACACAGCCACGCCCCAGTGGGCTTTGCCATCTGTACTCAATCGCAGGTAGTCCCGGCTTTCGCACACTCCCGCTTGGCCCTTGGTCTCCTGAAACATGGCCAGGTTGCACTTCATCTCCGTCAGCTGACTCTCGATGTAGCGATGCTTGCCCTTTAGGCTCTGCACGTTCAGAGACATAGCAGTCATACAGAACGTAGAAGTCCCCGTCTTGTCCTTGCCATCATCAAGAACAGGGATCAGCTGGTCAGGCCTGAGTTGAGGCTTCGGGAGCTGGGCCTCCGCACTCCAGGTGAGGCCCCCTGCAGGGTCGACTGGGAGGACTCCCAGTCGCCATCCAGGTAAGGTCAGTTTGAAGGAAGGCCTGGACAACCTCTCGGGGTGGGGTCGGGAGTCTTGTACCTCCAGCAACAGCCTTGGAGAGGACATCTGCCATCTCGTTGTACGGGTGACCATTGTGTGCTTTGACATGCTCCACCTCCAACGGCACTGGCAGGATCTCCTGCAAGTAGAGCTCGAGGTAGTGGCTACGTTCCCCCAACTCATTTAGAGGTCGCCAGTCTCCAGTGAGAGCGCGGCCCGCGGCAGCACAGTCATAATGAAGCACATATCTGCCAAGTTCAAGAAAGGCGGTGCTCTGTAGGACCCAAAGGAGCCCAGTTGCAAGCGCCACTTGTTCGTTGTGCAGGGCAGGGGCAGTGTCAGCTGCCCAAAGCGAAGCGCTGTTGCCTTGCGTAGCCTCGCCCCAGTAGCCCATGACCGCTTGGAGTCCTGCAAGAACAATGACCACAACCACAGCATATCCGCCGATCTCCTTGTCCTCAGTCCAGGACCCATCCGAGAAGAGATGCAATTCAGGTCGTGCTCCCTGCTTTCCTGCATCCAGCACAGAACTCCAGTGCACAGCTTCCCGTATAGCCTTGACAGTCGGTGGCTTGAAGGTGACCTTTTCGACCACAGGGTCAATCCATGCTGGGCTCCATACACGCATCATCGCAAGCAGACCGTCGGTGTCACATGGGAGTTGCAGGCGATGTAGCGCTATGTCGAATTCCGGTGGTGGTAAATGTTGTAGCAGTTCAAGTACCTCCCCAGTATGCCTTGTGCGGCGGGGCGATCGGCTCCTGTCGTTGACCGGTGTTGGTGGAGGGGGGCCCCTTGGAACGCCGTCTCCAGGGGCCGAGGGCGGCGTAAGGTCACTAGAGTCCGGGAGGGGGTCGTGCGTATCAGAACTGTCATCAGTGCCCCCATTGTCGCCTCCGGTCCCCTCGTCTTCGTCAGCTGATTCTGTGAGTTCAGCTGTCTCCTTCAACAGAATGTTGAGGGTCTCGCCATCCGTAACCCTGAGGACCTCCGTGTCATTGGTCAGTTCACCGCCCTCAATGAGGATGGTCCACCCCTCTACTGTGGGCGCCTGAATGCCCTCCAGGTACTCTGTCGTGTTAAAGTAGGAACCAGGAAGATGGACCCACTGCGGGAACATGCCAATGCCACGCAAGTCAAGGAACACTATAGTCGCATCTGGATCATCCTCTTGCGTACGCCGTGGTCCAGGGTTCACCGCGATCTGCTTGGAGATGTACCGCCCCGCATGAGTAATGCCTACAGCTGGTACATCTGGCGCTCGCACCCAGCACTGCCCACTTGGGAAACCCATCAGCTGTTCAGCAAGGTCTGCTCGGTGTGCATCGGCGCCCGGTAGTTCATAGTACACCAACTGATCTTCCGGGCTCTGGTACACCACATGTTCGTTGTTGTCATCCTCCGGAGTGGCAACACGGGGGTTCCAACGAGAAGGGTCCGTGAGCCTTTGTGAGAGCTCGTCCTCCCACACACATGGTTCTCCCGCGTACAGGGCTTTGACGACACCGCCCTGCACAGCCACCGGTGGCGGCTGATCCCTCCGAAGGGGGGCTAGGCTGCCGAAGAGGTAGATGTCCACGCTGTCCGCATCCTCTTCCGGCAAGTAGGTTCGAAGGGAGTGATACGTCAAGGGGCCTCTGTGGTACACAGAGAAGATTTCTCCACCTACACTTCGGTTGTCGATGACCAGAGCACACAGTCCAGCAGCGGGTGTCCATGCCGGGATGGCCAGGCAGCTGCCAAAGTACCCCCCAATCTGCGGAACCGTGGGAAGATAGGAGTCGGCATAGTCAGGCAGTTCCCGCACTGAACTGCGCACAGCGTCACAAACTCTCCGCTCCGTGATCGGGAAGCCGATTCCAATGTCAACGACTTCCGATCCCCAAAAGGGTGTCGTCACCCAGACGCTGATATGGACTGCTCGTCGGTCTTCGGGCGTCTGGTGATCCAACACAGCACCCTGTCCCGGCGCCGCAGTAGCCAGCATAGGTGCTGCATACTCACCCTCGGAGTGGTACAGCGAGGCATTGTAGATTAGCTCGCTCTCGGCACGTAAGTCTTGCTCCCGAGCCGTCAGTTGCCCAGACGCCCATAGTTCCAGGTCTGTCGGTTGTGGTAGTCTCGGCAGCCCCCCCGTCCTGTCACGAAAGGGGCCCCTGTTTGCACTCCCTTCGGCAGGAGGCTCAATAGTGGCCCCAGCCATTCCAAGGGTGCCAAAGACGAGGAGGATCGTCAAATTGCAGCCAGCGCTTGAACTGACTCTCTTTCTTCTGCCCTGCACCACAGTGGCGCCGCTGAGGGCAAGCATCACCATCAAAGTGACTGTCTGCAGAAACAGGCAAGTCAACTGCCATCCAACAATTACCTGGCCACTCCCCGCGAGGCTTGCCAGGTCATACTGCAGGATGATCTCAAGTAGGTAGGACAGGAGGTCCAAGAGATCGAACACTCTCCGCTCACCTGTTCCATGACACCCCAATCGGACGTGGCCTCCCACAGGGCCGTGCCGTACAAAATTTGCACCACCATCAGCAAGAGGTGCATGATCATATCTACCTTGCCAAGGCCCTTGATCTCGTAGTACGGGGCCTCCATCAGCTCGGCCAGAACCTGCACCTTCGTTAGCGTCTTGTAAGCCAAGAGCACCTCCTCGCACAGGTAGGCCAGCACATAGGACACATCCGCTGGACGAACCGAAAAAGCCAGACCAAACATGTCCTTGTACTTCATAGCATGCAGGGTGTCGAGCATCTCCACTACCCGCGATCCCATGCACGTCTGCTGCTCGATCAGACAGCCAGTAACAGTGATCTACTGCTACTCTGCCACTTGATCGCGGCCTTCGGCACCATTTCCATCCACATCGCCGGTCTGCACCTCCTCGTCCGGGTCGTCCGAGAGCAAGATCTCCGAGGTCATGGGTGCTCCAGCCCTGGTCGCCTCCCTTCTGGCCTCCAGCTTGTCGGCCAACCCCGAGCTTGTCGGCCTCGCCTTCGAAGGGACTCGGCCAAGTTGCTTCACCGGGATCCGGGCACTTGTCCTGGACTTGGAGCGTGGAGCGCCATCTGGCAGGTGTAGGGCCCCTGTCGAGGGAGACGTCATGTAGGGGTCCTTGTCCGCCGCCTCCACAGTGTCGCCACTTCCAAGCCCACGTCCAGGTCGGGTCGTAGCAGGCGGAGTCGTCTCTGCCACGTATGAGCGGCGGCCCTTGGGGGTAGATGGCTGCGCCTCCTTCAACTCGGCCCGTCGAGCAGCAATGGCATTTAGGACCTGTTGCCTGGTAGCTTTCTGGGAGGCCCGTTTGCCCGCCAGAGCTCCTGAGACCAGCTCTGCCAAGCCCATCTCGTCGTCCTCGGGGTCCTCCTGCATAAGGCTGTCCCAGGCCTGCTCCTCTTCCATCGTGGGGGTCGGCACGCTCTCCGCCGGCTTGAAACCACCGCCCGCGATGGCCTCCTGGAGCTCGTTCAGAGCCTCTTCCTCGTTGAGGATGTTCTCCGCCTGTTCCGCACGGAGCACCTTGGAGGCATCGAGGAACTTGTCCCTCTCCTTCAGGAACGCCTTCTTGAGCTTGTCCTGGTAGGCCGTCCATTGTTCTTGAAGGCGGGCCAATTTTTCGTCTGTCTTCCGCACCTTCACCTCCGCCTTCCGCAGGTTGTTGACCAATCTCTGTGCCCCAGAGACAAGATCCATGGTCTTCGACCCCGCACTCTTGGCTGCCTCGGCAGCTCGCCCATCCTGTCCTCCCTTGCCACCAGTGGTCGTCACTTGCATGGCTTCTAGGGTCGGGAAAGCGGGTTCCTCCGTCTCCTTCCAGGATGAGTGCCAAGCCTGGTCTTTCCCCTTGTCTTGGCCCTTGCCTCGTTGTCGCCCACCATGCCATCCACGTTGTGGCGGCTGCCCACGCCGCGATTCGGACCAATCTTGGGGCCATTGGTCCTTTCTGCCCATGGGATAGAAGGCCTCCTTGTAGAACGGGGCGGAGTGGTGGGCCTGCAAACGGCCAAGATCTCGCCACCTCGGTAAGTGGCCACACAGCCTCGCAAGTCGAATGCGGCCTCGGGCTTTGGCTCTGGCAGAGCGGAGTTTCCGGTGCCAGCTCGGTGATTTCGTACCGGCGGCGCCCTATGGCGTGCAGACAGGGTGCACTGGGGCCTGTAGGCACTACGACCGCTACTGGTCGCTCGATCCCAAGCCCTCTTATACAACCCTCGTTTATAAACACCATCTAAAAGTATGAAGGCCCAATAAAAATCGAATCCCATCCCTGAGAAAAAGACACAGGGACTTCCCAAAAAGATAGTTACTATAAGGGCCTTAATAATAGGGTATCGGGGCCCATTATACTATAATGATAATAAGAAAACCCCCAAAATCGTATAGGTAATCATTAAGGCCCCTATATTCGACTCTGAACCTTAAACCCTTGCCCTGGAACCTCAAACCCCTAAACCCTAAACTCTGAATCCTGAAACCTACAACTTAAACCATTCACCTGGAACCTTGAACCCTAAACTCCCAAAACAAGCCTTAAACCCCAAAACTCTAGGTCCTGAAACCCTAAACTCCCAAAACTTAGCCTTAAACCCCAAAACTCTGCATCCTGAAACCCTAAACTCCCAAAACAGGACTTAAACCCAAAAACTTCAGGTCCTGAAACAGCCTGGCCTCGCCCCGCCGGACCAGTCGTTTCGTGTCGCCGTGCGCAGACACCTCGTGCATGCCTGAAGCATCAGTTGGCTTAGGCTTGAAGTTCAGGGTTCTTTTTTTTTTGCGGGGGGGGGGGGGGGGGGGGGTAGGGTATAGGGGACAGGGCTTTGGCTTGAAGTTAAGGGCTCTTTGTTTTTGCACGCCTTCTTCGAACTGCCTGGAGGTCTCAGCTCAGACTACCGAATCCACAGTAACTTCACGGTTCAGGGTTTAGGGTTCGGAGACCTTCGGATTCTAGGTTCAACTATTTAGGGCTCAGGGTTGAGGGCTTAGAGCTCATGGTTCAGGAATTATCGTTCAGGATTCAGCTTTCAGGGTCTAGGGTGGAGGGATTAAGGGTTAGGGCTTGTAACTTACAAGTTAGAAGCTGCCCCCACCCTGTAATAGAGACTATAAGGATTATATTAGGGCCCTATTGTATTCCTATTATACCACTATTACAGGGTGGGGGCCCCTTCTAGATTATAAGGTGGAGGGCCAACTTGAGTGTTCCTGCGAGGATTCCGGCTTGAGGCATCCCCTTGCAGGATCCGGGAGGCAGCACTTAGAAGGAGGATAACCCCGCTTGGGTTACGTGAACCTCCACTTCAAAGGCAAGTCTCTGAAAGTTATGTGGGCTTCCGGCTTAAGCTTCGAAAGTAGCATCTGCATGGTCATCCGCGTTTCTGCCAAACATCGCAATATCTTCAACAGTGAAAGCCTGCCGAAACAAAGCAAATGAAAAACCCTGCATGAAGGACTATACCTTGGGTACGGCCCCATACAGTAAGAGTCTATAATAGGGCTACTATTAAGGTCCTGATATATCTACCTTATGAATATTATTCAACTACTACTGAGTGGGGGCCGTACCTAAACTATACCTTCTCTTGTCTTAAAAGGATCCTCGGAAGGTTGAAGGTGCATTCCTGCATCCAAGGCGTTCGTGCTTGGCCTGGCCTTAAACCCCCCCCACCTTTGGTTACGGTTTAGGGTTTAGGGTTTAGGGTTTAGGGTTTAGGGTTTAGGCCCCCACCTTAAACTTAAACCCTACATGCTAAACAGGACCCCTTAAAATGAGAGACATCACCCCGGCGGCTTCCAGTAGTCTTTATGTGGAGACCCTCAATCAACAAAAAAAGTGGCAGCAAAAGTCTGGACCTAAAACCAGAAACCTAAGCCCTTAGCACTGAAACACATCCCTACAGTCTTCTTTATGAAGAGATGTAATTAGCAGACATACCGCCTTCCCTCGACCGCTTCATTATCATTGGGATCGCTATAGTTGTAACCCGTGTGAGTGGAAGCGAGCCTGCTCAGCGTCCCTAAAACCCCTATAAGCCCAGCCAATACCCATGAATACTAGAAAGCTAGAAAGCCCCCAAAATCGATGTTAAAAAAACATGTCAAAAAGACATCAAACAGTTGCGGCTGAGAGGCTCATCGTATACGTCAGCCAGGACTGGGTTCCTGCACATCCCGAGCTTTGCTTCGGGGTGTAAAGGCCGAACCTACCAAAACCTACCAAAGGGCCTTAATAAGTACCATCGCAAGCAGGAATATAGGGTTCCTTTTCAGGGTTCCTTTTAAAGGGGTCTTTCAGGATTACTATAAGGGCTACGAAGGTCCCTCTATTGCCAAAACCTGCTGTTTGTAGATTCTTATTGTTCTTGCTTGGAGGATCATGGGAATTAGTAAGTAGGGTTCTAGGGGTCCCTTGAGGGCTCTATGTAGGCGCACGATGAGGGGTTTAGTATGGGTAGGGTTTAGGGGGTACTTTGAGGATCATGGGACTTAGCAAGTAAGGGTGATAAGTACAAGTATTGGAGCTACAAGCTACCGGAACTATAGTTAGCTTACTTATAACCCTAGCTACAAAGTCCCCAAGTGAAGGCTCGTGACTTCGCGGCTTGGCCTGGAGTTTTTGATAAGGGGTCCTTAACAGTTCGCATAGGTTTTCGGGTGGGATCTTGCACACGGCTACAGTAAACATTTTGTAAAACCTACAGCTATATGGTGAAAATGATACAAATTGCTCGAGTTGCGTAGCAAGCCCGAAAAGCCCTAGGCCCTAAACCCGAAAACCCAAAAACCCTGTACCCTAAACCTAAGACCCCAAACGCGAGAAAAACACACAAAAACAAAAAAACTAATAATAATAATAATAATAATAACAATAATAATAATAACAATGACAATGACAATAAGAATAATAATAGAGTTCAGAAGCCTTAAACCCTTGGAGAAACGTAAGACCCTGACACCCTATGGGAAACCCTAATTTAGAGAACGAACCATGTAAAGTTTTAGGGCTGGAGCTGAAGGGGTCGAACCCTCCGGGACCAGAAAGTCGGCCGGTGTTAAAGGTGCTACCCAGAGACTCCAATATTTTTTTTGGAATATATACCGTACATTATAGTAGGATCCCTACTATGATTTAAGGAATATTTATTTAAGAAAGGGATATTGGAGTCTCAGCGTAGTTTTCTGAGCAACCGAGGGCTCAGCATCAGGGGCTTCGCGTTTAGGGTTTAGGGTTTAGGGTTAGGGCTTAGGGTTTATCGTTAAGGCTTAGGGTGCAGGGTTTAGGGCTTAGGGTTAGGGCTTTGGGTTTGAGAAAAAGGAGCTTCTTTAGGTAGCTTTCTCTTGTGTCCAAGCTTTTGGAGGCTGAAGTTTTCGGGGACTGCTCTAGTGAATTTCCTCTTTTGCTTTAAGGGCTCGCAGGTTGAGCTCTAGGGACTCTTGGGGTTGGGGTCTTGGGAACTCCATTAGGGGAGGTTTTGGGTTTAGGGTTTAGGGTTTAGGGTTTAGGGTTTAGGGTTTAGGGATTTTATAGTCTGTGCGAGGGCTTCATGAATATAGGGTTTGACAGGGCTGAGGGTTTAGAGTTCAAGCTTTGGGTTGTCATATGGGTTTCGAGATTCGGTTTCCCGGAAACCCTAAACCCTGCACATTTAAAGGTCACGACAAAGGTATCTGCTCAAAAGACAAGGGACTTAGAGAAGCCTGCTGCAAAGTCAAAAAATGTAGGCCCGTCATTAAGAAACCCCTCAAATCTTAGATCCTCAATCCGAAACTCCGCGTAGAATCTACCTGCTCGGTATGCCACCGGAGACTCTCAATCTGTGAGCGTACTTGTGAAAACCCGAATAGGAAAACCATAAACTTTAAACGCCCTATGCTAAGAACTCGCATTAAAAAGCCATGTAACAACCGTATAATACGAACCTTCTCAAACAAATGAAAACTTACAGAAGCGTATTGTAAAACGTTGTACAAGCCACAACCTCTGAAATGACAGCTTTTAACGGATACACATCCCAGAGCCCTATTGAAAGGCCTGCGAAGGTTGGTCCAACAATCAGCGACTGACTCGCCCGTGCCAGGGAGAAGAGGGCGATGAGGTCCACACCTGGGTTCTGTGGGTTTATATGGGGTTGTAAACCACCAAACCCTAAACCCTAACTGTTCTACGCAGGCGTGATGAAGGTGTTGTAGCTTTTGTAGGGTTGTATGGGTGCTGCAGGGACGAGGGCTTCGTGATTCGTAGCGTTTTTGTAAGGGCTTGAAAGTTAGAGAGAGTTCTCTCGGGTTGCTTTAGGGCTTAGCAGCTTAGCAGAAGACCAGCGCCGCTGAAAGGACCCCTCACCAAAAGACAAGACTAAAGGGCAACTCTAAACTTGGTTGTAAGAGGGCTTGCACAAAAAGACCATCTAAAGCCCAAACTGAGGCATTTAAACCACAACATAAAAACGAAAGACGAGACCACCAAAAGCAAAACTTAGAAAAACAAAAAACTGCGAAATTCAGTCCCCCGGCTTGTGAAGTCGATATCGCTGTCCAGGGCCCACACGTACCTCGCCCACTCGGGGCCGCAGGTCAACAGGCACTTTCCCCCAAACCCCTAAAACCCTACACCCCAAAGCTCTGGACTCTAAACCCCCTAAACCCAAACCCTTCCGAGTGCCCTTTCCGGGTAGACTAGAAAGTTTAAGGTTTAGGGTTTACGGCAGGGGTCCCAAACCAAGCACGAACAGCCTAGACAATCTCAGGGTGCAGTTGAGACCGCGCTATTTTGGGGGCTTACTGGGTCAGGATTGGAAAATGACATGATCCAAGACTTCCTGAACACCTGGTTCGGGGCTGAGCTTAGAAAGGAATTAAGCGCAAAATTACTCTGCTGTAACAACATCTAGGGACTACTTGGGAATAGTACTGCTGATGATTCCGGCCCCTTCAAAACGTGTGTGAGAGTAGAGATT